ATACCTTCCATGCATTTTCTTGGCAGCCTAATAAAAATGGTTTTACTTCTGCTTTTTTCCAAGCATATTTCTTGACTCTATCCTACATCACCCTGGTGTTCTGACCCGGCTCCCAAACACGACAACCACTGTTTGTAACTAAATATCCCTTTTGTTAGGAGCATCAGCAGCCCCAACCCAGAGTCTCTCTCTCTCTCACACACACACACACACATACTAGGCTGAGTCTCTTAAGTGCCTGTTGAAAGCAAAGCTCATTCCCTTTCCCTCTGAAATGGCCCAACACACCAGGAGTCTCTCTCTCTCCCCACTCTCATAAAGAAAGTACTGGAAGGTGCGCCTTCTCGTTTCCAGCATCACACACACACACACACACACACACACACACACACACACGCTCAGAAGGCATGCCAACTCTCAGTGCTGCAGATATCAGGAAAGAATTCCAGTAAAGTTCCAGACAGGATTCAGAAGTAAGGAGGCTGACCGACACGGACACGAATAATTATCTGCCACATTTATTTGTCTCCGCCCCCCTGCATTTTATCCTCAGAGTTAAGGTGGGGCTTAGCTTGCAGCGGTGGCTCTTCCGTCCCCATGACCAGCCCATAGCGTCCCACTGCTCTCCTCTCCTCTGCCTTCTGTGCATCCGCACGTCAGGCAAAGGACTCAGCTGTTCCTCCTCAGCCACCTCTGGACCTGGGGTCTGTTGCCTCTCCATCTGGGAGCTGATGAACGGCCCAGGCTCCGCCTCTGTCTCTTCATTTCCTCTTCCCCCTGGGAGCTCTCCAGTTGCCTTGGTGCCGGCTCCGACTCCCACTCTGCTGCCTTCTCTGATTCGGCTGCTGGAGGGGCCGGCAGCCGACAGACCACAACACCTGGCCTTCTCAAATAATCACCATCTAATTACTAATGGGGCAGGCGCTTATTAGCTTTCTTGACACTATTATTAACTGGATGCAGGTGTTCCCCGACTTACAACAGTTCATTTAGTGACTATTTGAAGTTACGATGGCCCTGAAAAAGGTGACTTATGACATTTTTCACATTTACAACCATTGTAGCATGTGATCAAAATTCAGACCTTTGGCAACTGGCATGTATTTATGACGTTTGCAGTGTCCCGGGGTCACGAGATCCTTTCTCTGACAAGCAAAGACAATGGGAAAGCCCAGTTTCCCTTAGCAACAGAAATGTTTGCCTCAATTGTGGCCGTAGGTTGAGGGCCACCTGTAATGTATAACAGTTTGGCCTTTCCAAAGGTAGAGTTAAAAGTAAGAGTTATAATTGGCCTTTTTTCCTTCAGAGAGAAGGAAGATGTGCACATTTTAACAACGTGTATCTTGTTTTATAATGCAGGTGTAATGCAGACGTCTTTGTATGGTGGGTCATGGCCAAAAGCTACGGATGGCACTAGACTCCTTTAGAGTCCACCCTGGGATTATTCCTGGAAGTGCTAAAAGCATTTAAGAGGACACCTTTGGGACTGTTGCTTCCAAGGGCACTTCTACAGCGGTCATGGCAAGCAAAAGGAAGTCGTCAACTCCATGTATGGTACGAGCATCTGAAGCACCGGAGCCCAGTCACCCCATGGACTACAGTGTAGGAAAAGCACCTGGTGCTCCCGAGCAGGACTTAGAAAATAATTTGGGGGCCAGCAAGGATGTTTTTGAGAATGACTGTGAAGTGATCGAGGGGAAATCTTCTCCAGCCAACCCAACGAGGAAACCCGTCGGTGGTTACGAATGTAAGTACTGCCCATTCTCCACCCAGAACCTGAATGAATTCACAGAGCATATAGACACGCAACACCCCAACGTGATTCTCAACCCCCTCTACGTATGCTCCGAATGTAATTTTACAACCAAAAAGTATGATTCCTTATCCGAGCACAACGCAAAGCTCCATCCGGGAGAAAACAATTTCAAGCTTAAGTTAATCAAGCTCAACAATCAGACGGTCTTAGAACAATCCATTGAGGTGACAGGCAGTGTGGTTGAAACCCCTGACTATGAAGGGGTAGGTGATACAAACAAAGTAGCTCAGATCATTAACTTAGGAAAGCCTAAAGGTGAGGCCAAGAAAGCTGTTGACAGCCATCTTGATGGGATTCCTCAACTTTTTCCAGATATCACTGAGCCAATTACTTGTATTAATGGAGCAGAAGTCCTTCAAGATATTCTGGCCCACGTGATGCCCTCCGTACAGCTCCCGCCAAATATCAACCTAGTTCCCAAAGTCCCCGTTCCCCTGAATAGTACCAAATACAATTCTGCACTAGACACTAACTCTACCATGATCGGCTCCTTCAACAAGTTTCCATATCCTACACAAGCAGAATTGTCATGGCTGACGGCTGCCTCCAAACACCCTGAAGAGCAGATTCGAATTTGGTTTGCCACTCAACGTTTGAAGCACGGCATCAGCTGGTCTCCCGAAGAGGTGGAAGAGGCAAGGAAGAAGATGTTCAATGGCACCATCCAGCCAACACACCAGACCATTACTGTTCTTCCAGCCCATGTTGCCACAGCCAAGATGCCCCAGCCACTGATTCAGACAGCTGTGCCTTGTCAGATACTCAGTCAGACTGGCCTAGTTTTGACCCAAGTCTCGAATGGATCAAACGTTCCCCCAATTACCCTTGCTGTGGCTGCGAACCACGGTCAGAAACGGGGTGTGCAGAACCAGCTGGCTGTCCCAGAAGCCAAACGTCAGCATGTCAACCCAACAGAAGCCTTGGCCAAGCAGAACATGTCTGCTGCTCCAGTAAGCGTAGCAACAACAACGCCACCCTCTACTGTACCGCCAACGTCAACCAGCGACCGCAAAAAAACCAAGGAACAGATTGCAGCTCTGAAGGCAAGCTTCATTGTCACCCAGTTCCCTGACGATGCGGAAGTTTACAGACTGATTGAAGTCACTGGGCTCTCAAGGAGTGAAATCAAGAAGTGGTTCAGTGACTATCGTTACCGGAATCAACGGGGAATCAGCCATATCACGAGTGAATCTGTAGCCAAGGACCATCTTGCTCTAGGTAGTGCGCGACAGGATCCCCCCTATCACCCCTATCCGGATTTCATTTTCCAGCAGTTCAAAGGAAAAACTCAAAAACAAATTGCCATCCTTGAGGAAAGTTTCCTTAAAAACTCTTTTCCTACACTTATTGAGTTGGAAAGACTTAGGACCGATGCCAGGATGACCAGAAGAGAGGTTGAATGCTGGTTTGCCGAGCGAAGAAAACTTAGGGATAACATGGAACAAGCCGTCTTAGACTCAATGGGATCAAGCCTAAAGAATAAGGACCCAGTTGCTTCCAATGGTGCAACAAATCAAACAGAGCAGGTCCCCATCTCCCAACCTCCAACGTCTTTGCTTCAGTGCTCCACGGCCTCTGCTCCAAGTAGCCAAGAGCAGGTCCGCTTACTGAAAAATACGTTTGTTAGAACTCAGTGGCCTTCTCCACAGGAGTATGATGAATTGGCAGCTCAGACGGGACTCACCAGAACAGAAATAGTCCGTTGGTTCAAGGAGAACAGAAGCTCACTAAGAATGGGGACCTTAAAATGGCTAGACCATTATCAACAGCAGAGTGTCATTGATGAATGTGCAGAAACTAAGGGTCCAAAGCCACCTGGGCCAAAGAACAACCATGAGGATGTTCAGCTACCCAACAAGGAGGTCCAGAAAGTTGGGAAACTAAGCGTAGAAAATCCAGAACAGCCTGACGTTCCAATTAGCCAAAATAGTCAGGATGGTGAAGAAAAACCAATTGCTAGCAATGTAAATTTGGTGCAGCTGACTCTAGGTGACGATGCTCCTTCAGACTGCATAGAGAGCTGGAACGAAACGGGACCTAAAAGCAAAACAGATTTTGATTCTGAAAGTATATCTGGTGATAACACTCACACCTAGACAGGTAATAACACGGATGCTTTTGTCAATCTAACTTTTAGCCCTGCCTCATCCTTCCTCTTGATTTATGTTTTTCTCAGTGCCAGCGTATTTTGAGCAGAGTGCTTTTTTTAAGGATGTACACAACGATGGTCTAGAAACAGGACTCTCCAAACTTGGTAATTTTAAGATCTGTGGACCTCAACCCCCTTCCCCCAGAGTTCCCTATGTCTGGCTGAGGAATTCTGGGAGTTGAAGTCCAGAGATCTGAAAAGTTGCCAAGTTTGGAGAACCCTGCGGTAGAAGGAAATGAATTTGGAGCCATAGAACCTCTCCTGACATTAGGTCAAAAAATAGTTGGGTATTGCCCGCTTCAGCTAGCAGGAGAATTTGTTATGAACTTGCCTTCCAAGATAAGCAATAATTGCCAAAATCCCCAGTTTTCATTAAAAAAAAAAAAAAAAGCCTGTAGCCCTTGTGGAAACAGAGTTATAAAGCAAAATCTGCAGTCACCTTTCTGCCTCTTATATAAAAAAAAGCCTCTTTCTGTTTTGCAGTGTTTTTAGCCCTTGAACAAGTGGTGTTAATAATTGGTACGAATACAGCCTGGGGAAGGTTTTGTTTTGTTTTGATCTTCCTTGGTGAGACACAATTTTCAGCACCTCAAAAAAGACCCTTGATTCTGAAATTGAAGCTTGTGGTATAAATACAGTTATATAGTAATGTATTAGCTGAAAAACAAAAAAAATGGGAGAGATGATAAGAGTTGGTAATCCTTCTAAGATTGATTTTGCTTTCTTGGTTCAAAAAAAAAGTGACCCTGCCACTGTGGGTAGGTAAATCTGTTATTGTTTATTTATATATTTCATGATGGTGGAAAGAGGGGCTATAAGGGGAAGAAAGATGGTTGCATGGGTAATCCTGCAAAATAATCCAGTTTGTCACAAGGCTGCTCAAAAATTGGTTTCTTCTTGGGTATTTTTCTTGTGTCGTACCTAGCGTGGACTCTAGATCAGTCCCATGGCACTGCTGAATTCTGACAAAGTTATCAGGTGTCTGTGTTAATTTGATATTTAGACCCTGAATTGAGCCACAAATATATATATAAGGTTAAAAGTCCAGCTTACCTCTGTGGTTCTTAAAAGAGTTTGGAGCCAAGACCAAACACCCACCTTCTTCTTTCTGTATCTGTATACCACTCTTTCTGTAGCTCACCCTACCTTTTATTACCTATTAACAGGTGAGTTCTCTGTCACGCTCTGCTTCCTCTTCTCTATGTCTGTGCTCCTTTTTGGTTTTGTACGGTCTTGCACGTTTCTATTTTCTGCCTGTGATCAGTTTTGTGTTCTCTGACACTTTCTCAACCACCTTGACCTTCTTCCTTCATCTCCTATTGTTCATTCCTGGATCCCACCTTCTCCATCTGTTGTTGTGGTTACCGTTACAAGGAAGAAGAGTGTAGATACGAATGTGTGTATGTGTCACTGGTGTGTGTGTATGTGTGGGGAGGTGAATCCTAAGTTCAAAGTCCTACATGTCCTTGAAGTTCAGGAGGTGGCTTTGGGCTAGTTGTCGTCTCCCAACAGAGCTTATCTCACAAGGGTTTTGTGGGGATAAATTGAGGAGGGACTCTCCTGTCAATCTTCCTGAGCTTTCAGAGAAGAAATGAGTTATAAGCATAAAAAAAATAAAAAAAAATTTTTTTTCCCATTGTGTAGTGGAAATTATACTTCTTTGAAAGAGATATTAATATAGTCTTTATGGTAAAACAGTTGTTCCTGGACACAGAAGATCTTTATAATTACAAGATAGTCTCTAATCTTCCAGTCGTGAGTAAGGAGATTGAAAAGTGAAGACCTCATCGCTCCAGATGCATCTGGGAGAAAGTGATTATCTGTACTCATTTCCATTTCACCCCAGATATGATTTTGAGGCTTCCTTTGGTCACCCAGGTGGATGACCTAAGCCAGAAACTAAATGGAGGCAGTGCAACATGGTTGGTTCTAATATGTTCAATCCCAACTTTCATAACTTCTGAGACTAATTTATATGCTTAGATGCACCCGATAGATGCTGTTGAGAAATTAATGTCAGCCCCAAGTTATTGACCTGCATTATCTCATTGGGTTCTGTCTTGTCCCTAAACTATTTAACATCTACACGAAATCACTGGGTATAATCACCAGCAGCTCTGGGGTGGAGTGTCACCAATGTGTTCATGAAGCTCTGTTGCTCCTTACCATTAGCAGTTTGCACCCTTAAATGTTGCTTAAATTTGATAATCTCCTTGGAGGAGCTGAACACGCCGATACTAAATCCAGACAAAATACTGTTAGGAGAAAGTTGGACATGGACTTTGGGTGAGTTGCACTCCCTCAGAAAGCTCACTGGACATGCCGATGACAGCTGTGGCAAGAAGCATATTTGCACAACAACTAGTGAGCCAGCTATGACCCTTCCTGAACCCTCCAGATTTTACATCCTGTCTGAACTATTGCAGTAAGCTTTACTTGGGATTGTCCTTGGAAAGCAACTGATGAAAAAAAAAAAATGGTGGTTAGGTTGTTAACCAATGCATGGCATAGAGATGATATACAATGGCTGTACTGAAAGATCTGCATTGGTTGTCAGTTTCCTGTGAGCATAATTTAATTTGCTGCAGTTGACATTGAAAACCTTACATGATACAGAGCCATGGATTGCATCTTATGTTGTAACTCTGAGTAGTTTTCCCAAAGTATGGAATTAGCAATTCAAGACTGGATTACATCTTCAAAGACAGACCTCTCTTGCATTAAGAAATGTATTTCCTTTACATTTTAAATTAATTATGTTCCCTGAAACATATTTGCAGAGGTTATATGATTTCAGTCTTTTTTTTTTAAAGCACTTTAACTTTTTCATTTTGTTTCTGCAACAACCAGGCTTAGTGTTCAAATGCCACAACAGTGTTTGTCCACAAAAGACTAGCTAGCTATCTCAGTAGAACCCGTAAGGTACATGACTGTCACACAAAATTGGTTATATGTATTCTGCTTTTTGCTCCAGACATGTAAAAGTATGTTCTGTGCGTAATTGTTAGTATTATTATTGTTATGATTATACATGATGTCATATCATGCCACGTTTGGAGGTTTTGTTTGCATCCTGTCTTTATTATTTGTACAAATAAGTCGAGGTGGCAAACATATTCAACACACCTTTCTCCTCCTATTTTCCTGTGAAGTGAGTAGGGCTGAGTGAAAGTGATTGGCTCAAGGTGCCCCAGGTGGCTTTCATGGTTAAGGCAAGACTAAAACTCCCATACGCCTGCTTTCCGGCCTGGTTCCTTAATCACTAAGACCAAACTGGTTTTCTTCTTCTCCCATGTAATATTCATTAAGTACATTGAGTTTAGAACAGATAAAAAGATACAATTGATTATGTAACATATGGCTTGAACATGTGGAGTTTGGTGCTATCAAATATGATGATGGGTCATATATTAAATATGGACTGAATAAATGCATGGACAATCAGTGTTAGTAGTCTTGGTAGCTGTAGATTGCTTCCAAAATTATTCCTTACAAAATGTACCCTACATAGCCCCACAGGAAGGGGGCATCAGTGGAACTGAGCTCTTACCCTTCTGACATGCTTATGAGTTTCCTAAATGCATCTGACTGGCTACTTGAAAGCTGGACAACAGAAACCTGATCCAGGAGAGATTTTCTTAGATTTTGTTATTGATCCCTTTTATATTTTGCCTTTCTGCTTCTATAGCCTCAATCCTGCAAGGTTGATTGAAAGTGAACGATGAAAGATTGTGACCAGCAAAAATTTCCTGGTTGAACTTCAATCCTCAATCATAATTTCCTGGCTTTTAGTCCAGCACCTCAACAACTATCCCGAAATGGCAGTTAAAAACAAAGCCCATTTGCAACACATGAAACACTGTTTTGGATTATCAAAATATAATCTGATGTAAACACTAATTGTCCCGAGAAGTCACTTCCAAGCAACGTGAAGACAAGATCAAGTCTAAGCTTCAAAACGATGGAGTGAAGTAGTGATTAGGATATTGGGGTAGAATTGGGGAGACCAAGACCCTATAACCCTCAGCCGGGAAGCTCACTGAAGAACTTTGGGTTGGTCACTATTGCTCAGCCCAGCCTAACTCACAGGGTTGTAGTGAGGAAAATAGGAGGAAAGAATGTGTAATGGCATGTGAGGAGGTCTTTGGGAGACTGGGCAAAGAGATGCAGCTAAAGCAAGAGGCAGATTTACCTCACGGCAGGAATATGGGTGAGTTTGCAGCCTCAGCCTCTTCCTGATTTCTTGGGCTATAAAAGGGACAAGGACCAGTTATATACTTTTAGATCTACAAGATTCTGCTAGTGTAACTTTGCAGTAAAATAGAATTAGCTCATCTGGCCATGTTTTCTGTCTCATCTAACTCGCAAGGCTGAAAGTATGTATCTCTCCACCACCCCTTCCCATTCCATTTACAGCCCAATAAACTAAAACGTGACTGCATTTGGGACACTATACAACTGGCCTGCGTTTACGGCCATTTGCAAGACTGGTCATGTGACCATGATTTAGGATATTTTTGCCAGAAACTCCCATTTACTTCCAGTTGCTCTCAAAAGCTGTCCTGATTTTTTCCTCCTTCCGTATCTAAACTTTAAACCACCAGAATGAAGCCACCTTCTTGGCTTTATTGGCCCAAAATAAATCATTATCGATACATGTTTCTGGTAATAGATAATGTACCAGCATGTTGTTATACACTAAGAGCCTCCACTTGAGCATAATGGATTTACATTTAGGCCCTTTAACTCTCAACCTATTGAGGGTCCTCCAAATAATAATATGAGGGGGGTGAGATCCTTCAACCATATCATCCTTTAATGTTATTCCATTCACGATTTCAAACCATTCCAGAGTAAACAATGAGTTCGCTGAAGAACCGTGACATTTGCCTTACAATTGCCTTTTTCACTTAATGACCACTGCAAAAAAGATGATAAAGTGACCATTACAACTTACAGCCGAGATTGCAGGCACAACGCCAGCCATAAGTTGAGGACTAATTGTATTCAGGAGAAAGGGCAACAGGAGCCATTAATGTTTAAGATCAATTTATATTAATTGATTAAACACAAAAACAGTGTTAGAAATCCAAGAAGGTTGTTTTTTTTTATATTCCACCCACTTGCTGTTCCTTTTCTTCCTGTTTGGATAACTCTGCTCTTTCATTCATATTTTAACCTTCCAATTGAAGATCCAAAAATGTGCCCTCTAGTGGGGGAAAAATCAGTATTCTTACAATTGTCTAAACCAGGCTTGTCCAACCCGCGGGCCACATGCGGCCCAGGTCACCTCGTAATGCGGCCCAGTGCCCACCCCAACCTTCTGGCAAGAGCCAGCGAGGAGGAGGAGGAGAGGCAGGCGCGAGGTGAGTGCCACGCCAAGCAGCAACAGAAAAGGCGGGCGCCACCTTTGCTGCTTCTGCCGCCGCCGCCCACCCCACCCCGCCACCACCGCCCCCACCCCACCCCGCAAAATTTGGCTGGAAAATTAATAAAAAATAAATAATTTTTAATAAATAATTAATAATAAATAATAAAAATAATTTATTATTTATTATATAATTTTATAATATAATTATTTTATAATAGTTTATTATATGTGCGGCCCAAACCAAATTTTCATCTAATGTGGCCCAGGGAAGATGAAAGGTTGGACACCCCTGGTCTAAACGTATGTTTTAAACCCATTCCAGTATAGAATAAACAACTTACTGAGCTCACTCAGATTAATGGATCAGAGGGGTGCATGATTGTCCTGTAACATATATCAGAACGATGATACATTTCACTTTTTAAAAAGACTTTTGAAGAAGGGTACCTTAATGTCAAACAGACGTTTCAAAGTGCATTAGTTATATCTAATACTACTGTCTGCTGATAAAATGAAAGCTGTCTGCAGACTAAAAAGTATGTTGCCTCCAGCATTATTTTCACTTTCAAAAATCCCCGTGAGCTTCACATATGCTCCAGAACCACCCGTTAGAAAATTAAAATTGTGAGTGGCCGTGAGAGTGGGTGCATCCACCTTTCAGAATATATTTTATTTCTGGATTAATGCAATGCAAGCTCTATGGAGCTGCCATTGAAGATCACTCAGAAGCTACAGCTGGTCAGAATGCTATATAGTGCGAATAGTTACGGATGAACCTCTCAGTACATCCCATATATAATGCCAGTATTTGATAAGTACAAGGTAGGTGGCTTCTGGATGTAATTCAAAATTACACTAAAAGTTATCACTTTTAAAGTCCTATGTGGACCAAAGCCTTGTTACTTGCTGAATGTCCTGTCTTCGATTATTGTGGCCCCTTCAGGAAGATCTGGCAGGAGTGGTGTGTTCCAGATCTAATCTCTAAGCCAGGGCTCTCCAAATTTGGCAACTTTAAGACTTGTGGACTTCAACACTCAGAATTCTGAGAGTTGGCTGGGGAATTCTGGAAGCTGAAGTCCACAAGTTGCCAAATTTGGAAAGCTGTGGTTTAAATCATGACATCTTATGGGACCCAGGAAGTGTGCTTTGTCTGCTGCTGCATCTGCCTTAAGGAAGAGTATTTTCTCATGATTCAGACACTACCAATCCTGCCTGTCTTTTGCAAAGCCTTGAGGGCCTGTTTTTTTCCCCCCAGGCTCCGAGTCAGGAGGATTGGTAAACCCATCTGGAGTGAGCATTTCACTTGCCGAATGCCTCCAGCGTAATTTGTGTCATGCTTTATTCCTTTTCATTATTGCTTGTATATTTTTATAGCTGGGTTAACTGTATGCCATCCTGAGCCATTTACCAAGAGAGTGGCTATACAAGAGATAGGATCTGGAGAATATGAAGCCTCCTGGATCTTACTCAATGGGCAACAATAATTGGAGAAAGGTCATAAAATGTTGTTGACTGTCAATAAAACCAGAGATGGCTAATCTCTAATCTAATCTAGATGGATGGCCAAAAGCCAGTTGTGGTGTAGTCGTTAAAGGTACCCAGACCTGAAGACTTACAGTGGAGTTCTAGGCCCTTGTTGGACTTGAAGGCAACTGAATGACTGTAGGCCACCCCTCTCTCTTAGCCCCAGGAAGAAGGGTAGAGCAGATGACTTCTGAAGATATAGGTGAACCTGCCCCTGAAACGATGAATTGGTTTCATGTAAATAGTTGTGGGTACATAAGGAGAAATTTTCTGACAGTGAGGGCAATCAATCTGTGGAACAGCTTGCCTTCGGAACTTGTGGGAGCTTCATCACTGGAAGCTTTCAAGAAGAGACTGGATTGCCATCTGTCAGAAATGATGCAAGGTCTGCTGGAGCGGAGGGTTGGACTAGTTGACCTACAAGGTCCCTTCGAACTCTATTAATCTGTATCCGTATCATATCCAAGTAGGATTTCATCGTTGCTAATAATTCCAGTTTAGGCTCCAAGGGACAATAATACTGAAAGAATTGGAGCTGAGTTTCAAG